TTGATTTTTGAACCAACTAGAGCACTCAGTTCTTAGGAATTGACAGSCTTCATTTTTGATCCARTCAGAGAGCTCTAATWTTCAAAAAAWCATACAGGCCGAAAGCATTTTCTGCCACATTCTTGTTGGTGCAAGACAGTGTTGCCGTGTTTTACAAATTCGAAAATCTACAAGCATTTATCGGGTTTATTTATTGGTTGATTTTCAGGGAACACACCATCAATGTAAACGGCAAAGATGTGGTTATACAAAAGGGGATGATCAAAGAAATAAAGCGATATCAGAAAGAACTCCATGGTAAGTTCGTATGAGTTATTTTTTCCCCCTCACACACACGATTCACCTTCCATTTTTTTCCTTTGATTGAACGTTTCCTTGTAACTGCTTCGACATGAGCTGTAATTAGTATCGAACCTTAGCCACAAAAACCCCCAAAGAACGCAATCTACAGTTGACGATGACAACGTGGACTTACCTTTTAAACTGCGTAATATGAAAATGAGTCGCACGTTCCTGAACCAATAGGACATTTGCACGATGGCGTCATTGACCTCTACTACCAGACTCCCTTGCACACTTTTTTTTTTGTTCAGTTAATTAGCACCAATTGTCTTACTATTCTCATGAGGAAATACAAATTTAAATAAGAAAAAAATTCGCAAATCATCTTGGTAGTAGAGGTCAAATGACGCCATCATGCAAACGTCCTATAGGACGTTTGCATGATGGCGTCAGTGACCTCTACTAACAGACTCCCTTTCAAACTTTCTTTTATTCAGTTAATTAGCACCAATTGTCTTACTATTCTCATGATGGAATACAAATTTAAATAAGAAAGAAAATTCGCAGAGCACCTTGGTAGTGGGAGTCAAATGACGCTATCATGCAAACGTCCTATTCGAACTTTCAGCCAAATACGACACTTAAAATTCGTAGCCCACATTACCAGACCTCCATATTCTGCCCTTCAGAAACAAGTTCTTTTTTTGTACCAATGAGAAGCCCTATGCCCAAGACCCCTGGAAAAGCTATGTAGAGATCAATGGACTGTCTAAAATACAATAGCAAAAGAAATATGCAGGACAAAACACGATTCCTGCTCATGTTGGAAATGATCTTAGGCCCCCAACCTGGTGCAACAGTGGACGGGGAATATCCATGATGATGATCATGATGCTGGTGACTCAGACGAGTCAATAGTTGTATAAATGCTACAGTGTTAATAAATTTCGTTTTCACAGTACGAGACGTAGAGCCTCATGTTATTGAACCATCTTTTGGTATTGGACGAATCTTGTACTCCATCTTGGAGCACAACTTCCAGATAAGAGAGGGAGACGAGCAGAGAACGGTAAGTTCAAATTCCATCCGTCTAAAATTAGAAACACTCTTTNGATGATGGCGGTAGTGATGATGAAAGCGATAGTGATGGTTTTTATTTTCTTTAAAAACTCAACATTTGTTTTTTTAGATCAATGATTTACCACAGCTTGTCAGCGATTTGGTTCGTGGAAAAAGAACRTGGGAAGAAGTGGAGAAGAAATATGGTTTGTTTGAAGGCCAAACTACATCAAAATGAATAGGATTTCAAAAAGGAGAACCAAGCATTGCATAATCAAATAAAATTTCTCWTGTAAATTATAATTTTCGATGCTTKTTACATCAATGCCTACTTRGACATTCCCATCCCAACCCTTTAGTCTTTTTTATTCCAACAGTGRGGTAAGATTTGGAATTTTGATGACTTGAGCTGTTCGATCTTATCAAAAGAGAATAAATTCTAACTTGTAGTCGGCCAACGTTATCATTGCTGTCGTGTTTGCTTTCTTCTTCTGCCATTGTCAACTTCACAGTTCCCTGCGTGCTCCATCTTGAAAGATAGCCGTGCCTTTGCATGGAAGCGATAGGAACGATGAGATTGCAATGATAGTGACGTGAATAATTGTCCAATTTGTTAAAGAAGGTCTCTATCATTGCAAGCTCACCGTTCGTCTCGCTTCGATGCAAAGGCACGACTTCCTTTTAAGATGGCACAGGGAACCTTGAAGAGATGGACTATTCCCACCTTCCCTACCCCACCCCCCAATATAAAACGTTTAATTATCGATCTGCTAACGCCTTACTGAGTGAATGAGTTAGTGAGTGATGCATTTGCATATTCAGACCCCTCACAATAACTCGTTTCTACGCTTCGCGTATCCACGAGTTAAGAAGAAAAAAATGAGAGTATAATAGGCCATTTAAGAAACGGTTAACAAACGTGGGTGGGTTTTGGATTATCGTCTACTTGGCAAACCATTTTACCATTTGGAAAAGAATCTCAAGATAGATACAGGTGTCAGTACTAACCATACTTTATTTGTAAAAAAACAATTTTTAAAAGTCTTTGATTAATTCTGATTCTTTGGAATGAATTCAAAACTCGCTACAGTCTCGTGCTCGATTCTAAAGTGGCCTTGATTTTATAGACATACTTTCAAGATTTTCGCTGTCCGCCAGCTAGTTTTATGTGTCTTAGAAAGACGTAAAAATAATCTTTATTTGGTTAAAAGACCTCAATTAACTGAAGTTAAATTGCATAAAGGGTTCAAAACCTTGAACGTTTTCATGGGGATGGGTCAAAATTTTCAATCACGTGATAGGTGACCAACCTGTAAAATCTGAAATCTGTAGCTATATGAGTTTGTCAGGTACAAAGTGTTCCTGTTATCACTTTTGAATGTCTTTGATATCAGTGAATTTAACTCACATAGAAGAAATTTAACAAGACAATTATATTTTGATATCCTTTTTATTTTTATTTTAATCTTAATTTTAACATAATTTAAATTCGATTTTAGTATCCTTAATTATGTCTGTCGTCAAGCAATTTTGTCAAGAAACGGGTTTCCTGTGGAATGCCCTAGGTTACAATGCTGGTTCTTTACTTCCTCCAATAGCCAATCTTTTTGAGTGCTTAGAGTCTTAATAATTTAGCTTTAATAATACTTCTATTCTATTTAGATTAGGTTCTAGTATTAGTATAATCGTATTCTTTTCCGATGAGCGGTTGGTATCTAAAGTGAGAGAAGGTGGTAGCTCACTTTCTCACCACAGTACTCCATTAAGGTTGGGAGCTCCTCGAACAAAACTAGCGGGGTTTGATTCATCTTTGGGTGATTGTGCTGGTCTAGCAGCTTGGCTTCTCTTACATCGGCCATACCAGACTTTACTTTTCGGACATGGAAATAGTTTTGGAAAGTAGCTGTTCCAGAATGCCATTCTTAGTGGATGGTACTTGCTGGTCATGGCAGGGGTTTTCTGGATTTTCAGGAAAGCTTTGTTAGATGTGTCGAAGGGAGTCCACTGCACTCCCTGTACAGGGCTAGGACTATTAGGAGTACCAGATTTGGCGAAATTGGTGAAAAGAGTTAACATCTTCTTACTGACAGCTCTGTCATCATCATCGAATGTCGAGTTCGCTCTGGATGATTTCAGTAACGGTAAACCAAACTTGTAGGGAGTTGTATCTTCATGCATCACTCCCTTCCAAGTTTCTCTTGTAAGTATGCGAGAGCGATGAGCGAATTCAAACATGTATGTAGTAGCACCATTCTTGCTGTGAAAGGACAAGACATCATGAGTAGGCGCGTTAACCAAAGAGTCACCCCGCATATCCAAGATCTTATCTCGAAATGCTTCAGAACTTTCCAAGTCACCCCAAGGCGTGTACTGGAACGCAAGAGCATCAAAAGCAATAGGTGCCTCTTCCTTTGTAAATTGTAAGAATTGTGGAAAAAAACTGTTTATCTAAGTAGTTTCTGTAGTCTGTAATATTACTTATGTTCGCGTCCTTAAACCCCAATGTTCCTTCGTTGCTGACAAAGCCCGACATCAGTGGAAGCTTAGAGAAACTCCACTTTTCCAATAGCTTTCGTGGTTCATCTAGTAGGAAGTGACCGTCGACAAATGGCTGCATATTAAAAGGATCTTTATCGTGTTTGATGATATCGTTACCCTTCAACCTGCGTAAACATCGAACTGTTAATTGCGAGGTCGTTCTTTTGCAGCCAGAAGCCTTAATAAGAGTTTTGCTAGCATTTAACACAGTGTCTCTTTTTTTGGTGGTAAAGGGAGTCAAGGCAACGCCGCTGATAGCTATTCCGCGATGGAACAGATTCTTGGACAGAGGTGATAAATAATGTAATGAGACACTCGATCCTCCTGCGCCATCACCAAGGAGAGTGACTCTAGTTTTATCCCCACAAAAACCATCAATATTGTCTCGAATCCATTTAAGGGCCTCTATTTGGTCAAGAAGACCCAAATTCCCCGGTGCTTCTGAGTCCCCCGTGGTAAAGAACCCAAACGCTCCGAGTCTATACTGGATGGTGACAAGAACCACACCATGCTTTGGGAGATACTCAGCTGGGGATATATCACGAAAAGGGGAGCCTCCCAAAAAGCTTCCTCCGTGAATATAGGCCATCACTGGATATTTCCTCGTGCACTTCGTACTTGGAGTATAGATGTTCAACAAAAGACAATCTTCGCTCATATTTTTACTACTGTTAAATCCAGGCCAGGCCCGTTTTATAGATGGTATGTATGGGTTCTTATCTACAAATTGTAAACATACTGGTGGGCGGGATGTGGCGTCGTAGTCATTTGGTCTTGATTGACTGCTAAGAGATTGTGGAGGTTTGAAACGAATTGGACTCTGCGCATATGGAATACCCAAGAACTTGTACACGGTATATTGTGGTCCATTTTCGATTTGAATGACTTCAATTTGCCCAAGCACATTGCCTTGTTGTGTTGAGACTCTTATCGGTGTTACAGACGCGAGTAAAACATGATAATGCAGGAGAGAAARGAAAACAAAGATGTGCAGCAGTGACATCGTTGTGTAACCAGTGTAAGTTCTGCTAACAGCTGATATTCTCTGATACTGCCTAGTGAAAGTGTCTCAGTTTTATGTCCTACCAAACAACGTAGGACGTAAAAATATGACAAATACGTAGCCCTTTATTAATTATGAAGAAACAACCTGTTGATTCATTTATTTCAAGTGAACTCATCCTGTCTTTTCAAAGCAATGCGAAAAATTCAGAATAGCATGACTTGTCAGGCTTAAAGGGCCACTTGGACGAAAATCGTTCCAAAATTAAAACTCTTTC